CATGGGGACGCTGCCCTTGGGGACATGGGGATGGCACCCTTGGGGACATGGGGATGGCACCCTTGGGTCCCCTGCCCTTGGGGACACGGGGCCACGGGTGCAGGTGCTGCCCGGGAGGACCCTCGTGGGCTTCATGGCCGACATCGCCAGCGGGATGGAGTATCTGAGCGGCAAGAGCTTCATCCACCGTGACCTGGCGGCGCGAAACTGCATGTGCGGGACACGGGACATGGGACACGGGGACACGGGACAGGGGAACATGGGGAGATGGGACACGGGCACATGGGGAGATGGGAAATGGGACACGGGGACACAGGACATGGGGACACGGGACAGGGGAACAAGGGGCCATGGGACACAGGGACATGGGGACACAGGACACGGGGACATGGGGACACTGGGGACACGGGACAGGGGAACAAGGGGCCATGGGACACAGGGACATGGGGACACAGGACATGGCAACACAGGATATGGGGACACGGAACAGGGGGACACGGGACACAGGGACAGGGAGGATATGGAGGGATGGGTTGGATCCCTTCAAGGGGATGGATCCATGCCACAAGGATAAGGATGGGATGGGTTGAGGACCAAGATGGAGATGAAAGTGAGGATGAGGATGATGACAGGGCTGGAGATGATGATGGGACTGGGGACAAGGATGGGTCAGGCCAGGGACAAGGGCGAGGATGACGATGGTGATTGCGGGGACGGGGCTGAGGATGAGGATGGCCGGGCCGGGGACGAAGGCGGCCGCCCGCAGGCTGGACGAGCGGCTCCGCGTGCGCGTCGCCGACTTCGGCCTCGCCAAGAAGGTGCTGGGGGGCGGCTACTACCGGCAGGGCCGCGTGGCCAAGATGCCCGTCAAGTGGGTGGCCCCTGAGAGCCTCGCGGACCGGGTGTACACGACGCAGAGCGACGTGGTGAGCGGCGGCTGCCGGGAAAACACCCGCCTGGCGGCCAATGGGGAGCAGGGGGGGAAACACCCGCCCGGGGGGCAATGGGAAAACACCCACCTGGGGGGCAATGGGAAAACACCCGCCTGGCGGCCAATGGGGAGCAGGGGGGGAAACACCCGCCCGGGGGCAATGGGGAAAACACCCGCCTGGGGGGCAATGGGAAAACACCCGCCTGGCAACCAATGGGAAAACACCCACCTGGCGGCCAATGGGGAGCAGGGGGGGAAACACCTGCCTGGGGGGCAATGGGAAAACACCCACCTGGCAACCAATGGGGATGCAAGGGAGAAACTGCCCACCTGGCAGCCAATGAGGAGGCCAGGAAGGAAAACACCCACCTGG